AATTCTCGAGCCTTACAAGTTATAACTCCCTCATTTGTGTCACACGTTGTACCACCTACTAGCCCACTATTTGCAAAGTTGTTGTGTGTATCTTGCATTTCAATAAAACAAACAAAAATAATACTAATAATAATAATAATATGTATAAATATATGTGGCCATAATTTTATATTAAAAATAATTTATGTTTTAAATCGACAGACCAAAATCGATAAGCTAGAATCAATGAAATTAGATTTGGCCATAATCGACAAGTCACCATAAATAAAACGGGACTTGGCCATAATTAACAAGTCATAATCGACAGAAAATTATTTTTTGGTGCCAGCAATTTGTCTAAAATCAATTTTTTATTGCTTTTGTTTGATACTATGTTTAGTTTTAATACAAAGGAGAACTATGCTTTGTGTAATATGTATCTAGTTTTATTGCTTTTGTTTGTTGCTTTTGTTCGGATTACAGATTTCACGAATTCTTTACTCAACCCTAACGATTTCAATAAATGAAGTTTAAATTCAAAAAACATTTGTTAAACCTTACCCAAAAAAAGTCATTTTCACTATGCCAAATTTATTGTAAAAAAAATAATAAAATCAAATTTAGTTCAAATTTTGGCAAAGTCTTTTTTTTTTTTTTAATATGAGTCACATTTTCAAATGAACAAAATTTAATCTCCAACCTTAGCACTAAATTTTTATTTCTAGCAATGTAATTTCAAAATGTGATATATATATTTCTTCATTTGATTCTTATCTGTTAGAAATTGGGCGCCCATGTGGCATGACCCTTAGAACCTTTTGAACCTGAACCTTTTGAACCTTATCCATGTAAGTTTGAATTTGAATTCAAAACTTATTTGGATAACCATTCAGGATATCTATATCTATCATATCAATAGATATGGATAGATAGATATTGGTTATATATCAGATTATATGATTAATCTAAAGATATACGTATATCAGATATACGTTATGTGATTTTTACCCATAACCTTTTTTTCCAGACTTTCTCTCTGACTCTCTCCCAGAAAACAACGATCAAGCCATTTTGCACTGTGACTTGTGTGGATGATACTCATTTTGTAGTATCACTCCACTGCTGGGTTCGTTGACTGATCAGATTTTGGAAGCACGTGATTTACCCACGAGGTTATGTCATTAAGATATGATCCAAATTATTTTTATCCGCTGCGTTAATTTATAATGCTTTATGATTTACATAGGTATCAGAGCCTATATGGGTTTTTTCGTGCTTATTTTTTGTGCATTAAAATATGTGTATTTTTTTTATATAAATATATACACATTATATGCATGAAAATTAATGGAGGAGGAAGATGAAATGCACTGTTTTTTGCACTTCAACTCTCATTGATTGAGAATGTGATACATTTCATTTTTATGTTCATTAAATGTTATTTTTAATGTCATAAATGTTTTTATTGTGAAAAATAGAGTCCGGTAGTACAAAAATCGAACCAGAAAACACCCTGGAAGGCGGAGCATGGGCCTCACGCGCCACCCGATGCCGTGGGAGGCTTCCACGCGCCTCCACACGCTGTCACGCGCTCTCACGCGCCTCCACGCCCGCGCTGTTCCGCGCTTTCCACGCACGCGCCCTCCGCGCCACACACGCGCGCCGCGTGCTAAGCCGCACCGTTTTTCCTCCGTTGGCTTGGCTGCTGATGTAAGGGTTTGTTTGTTTTGTTTTTAAATTCAGAATTATGTTAAATGGTCATAATTAATTCGTTATAGCTTTGTTTTAAGCGTGGTTAGTACCGTTAGACTCAGAATTATATTTTCTATCTTTTGTAAAATTTTGAAAATTTTATGAAAATAAAAAGTATTTTTCTTGTGATTACAATTCATTATTTATGCTTTAAAATGCTTCTAGTATTGCATAAATTATTTTATGGGGTTGAATTTTTTATTGTAGACTTCTGAAATATTTTTCTATTTACTGGAATAATTTTTTCAGTTTATTAGATTCTGGAATTTTTTATTTCTAATTTAATGTGTGTTTATTAGTTATTTAGAATTCCAGAAAATTTCAGAAAATTTTAGAAGTGATACAGTTTCTGTTATGGCATAATTTGAATATTTAATACAACATATTATTTTTTTTAGAGTTTCTAATATGTTATAATTAGAATAGCAAGATTAGTTTTTTATTTATTTATTTGAATTCCATTATTAAATGAATATAGCATGAGTTATTGGTAAATTTACATTAAGATGCTATTGTATGGAATTTATCATGCTTTGGCATGCCATAGTCAGTGGGATGTTGTTCGGTTGAGAGAAATATTTGTAGATTTACTCCCGAAAATCAATATTTTGCGCATAAATTAAATTAAATTTTGGATAATTGTCACCTGTGGCGCAAGAGATGATTACGAGCATAACGGATTTTCGATCTTGCGACTTGTGTAATATTGTCACTATTTAATTTAGATTTTTGCAACAAAATTATATTATGCTAATCAAATTAATCCAAA